CGGATTAATTACCTCTCGTATAAGTAGGATCGAGCTCTATTGTAATCACACAGCTACTCATTCAAATAAGTAATAACACTCTAAATTTCTCTTTTTTGCTCATTTCACATCTTTCTTACTGTTCTTGTCATTTTTCTTATCGTTCTTATACGAGACTCAATCGATATACAATTTTCACTTTAATTAGTTTTACCTTATCAAAAAATTGATTAAACAATTTGGCGTCCACCGTGGGGCCTCGTGCAAGAGAAAATTCGAACATGGCACGAACTACCAATTCGTGATGATGGAGTTCCATGAACAACTCGAAGCAGCGAAAGAGGAATTCTGATGGGAGATGGCTCAATGAATCGCATTCATCCAGAGAGAAAATGATGTCTTGCGGTCTCATGTCTAATAAGTAGTGTCCACATAGCTTCCAATTCAAGGATCCACCGAAGAGGCGACGCTATGACCACAACAACCAGGTTAGAATTGGGTCCCGTCCCAGCTATGTCAGAATTGCTTGCTGACGTGCACTTTGTCGTGGTGTGCACTCAAAATAAATATCAATACAACACTTATATCTTTAACTATCTTCCTCTCGAATACTCAATCGAGGAGTATATCCAATTCATCGAGGGTAGTTATTAATAACGAGACGCGTTCATTAATAAAACTTACTACCGAGTCAATATAGAACACGCGTCATATATTAACCCGATAGTAGCAATAAACTTAAGATGAAAACGATTGAAATTGATAACTTCAACACAAGCGGTTTATTAGTTTAATCAATATAATTAATTCCCCTTAGATTATTAACCATGAGACGCATACATTAATAATCCAAGTTTACTACCGTGAAACGACCGAACGATTAACAAGCGTATTCGTCGATCGATTCTACTATTAATTAATATATGAAACAAAACTAGTTGATCCTTTAAGTAATGCTCAAAATATTAATATGAAATATGAATAGGAATTAATTAATATTCAAGGAAGAATATTAAAGAAGATAAATCCTACTATAACTAATGTCAAGATGTTAACTAATTGTCATCTTAGCAACACTCCCCAACATTAATATAGAGGAAGAAAATAAATACTACTATAACTAATGTCGAGATGTTAACTAATTGTCATCTTAGCAACACTCCCCAACATTGATATAGAGATAGTATTAAGGGAAGAATTAATATTCAAGGAAGAAGATTAAAGAGAATAACTCACAACTTACAATTCATTAGGCTTCAAAGTAGCAAAACCAAGATGGAAGAGTTTAGCTCCTCATTTGGAGACTAAACATGATAAAAAATATAGAGACAACACTAATCTAAACTGAGCTAAATAGTATATGTGAATTGGTGCTTTTATTGTGAAGGAAAGGAGTGTATTTATAAGCTTTTGGGAGCTGCAGGGTCTGATACCCGATCGGGTATATAGGATACCCGATCGGGTATGTTAGGAAATTGCCCAGAAAGTCACTTTTCTGGGCATACCCGATCGGGTATGTCGGCATACCCGATCGGGTATGTGACAAATCTTCACGAAAATTTGCTCCCACGATCATTTGTTCCCGGATTTGATTTGGACAATCGAATCAAGCGAATACCCGATCGGGTATAGGCAATACCCAACCAGGTACATGAGTATTTTTTCCAAATCGAAATCTTGCTTGTCTCCTTGCACTTTCCTTGATCTTTTAAGGTCCAATCTTGATCCCTTGGATGATCTTTGACCTGTTTAGCTCAGAATAATCCTAATCTAAACAAATTACAAATAAAAATGAAAATAAAATATTACACCAAAAGTGTGTAATTTCCACAACTAGAACTAATAAAAACTAGTTAAAAATACAAACATACAATCGGAAATTACACGAATATCAACTCCCCCACACTTAGTTTCTTTACTCGTCCTCGAGTAAAGTCAAATGTTTAACACTTCCAAATCCTCAAAAGTTCAACAATCAACAAGAAAAAGCAAAAGACCACCAAGGATAAAACTTGTTTTTTTTTACATTGAGTTTTTAGCTCAATAAAAAAACATCTTCTTGGGTTTCATGGCCTTCTATGCTCATTTTTTTGTTCACCTCTTTTATTCTTCTTTTCCGTCAAGAGATTAAATGATGTTCATGCAAAAAACAAATATATCTCTCATTTTTCCTAGGAGCCTTTTCAGGTTTTCATCCTAGAATCTCTTTTTGTTTTTACATCCTTTCCAACTCAGTCATTTTTTTATAAGCCCTTTTTGCTTAGATTGTCCATTTTTGGGTTTTCAACCTAACTAGCATTTCTCTTCTTTTATTTATATTATTTTTTGTGAAGAAAATAATGCAAGTTACAAGGTAGAAAAATTAATTACGTACCAATGAGTGACTCCCCCTCACTTAGCTCGGAGCACTGTCCCTAGTGCTCGTTATCGCCATCATTTTTTTTTTGGTTTTTTTTTTGAAGATATAAAATTGTGGTTTGGGAGAGGGGTGAGTGTAAGAGTTTATGGATTAGAGGGTGTGTGGAGTAAGAGGAAAGTGATGAGAACAAGATTGTGATTTTTTTTGTGTGTGGGGTTTGGTGGAGGATTTGGATAGATTTTTAAAGAAAGAATGATATGGTTATGAGGGTTGGGGTGATTGGGGTGGAATTGGATGGTGGTTTGAAAGATTAAAGATGAAAAGAAGTGAAAAGGAGGTTGTGTAGGGGAAAGAAAAAGAAAAAAATAAAATAAACACACAATGATGTACCTCGCTTAGGTTTCCTCTCAAAAAGCGCCTTATTTAACGTCGTGGCACGACGTTATTATTATTATTATTATTATTATTATTATTATTATTATTATTATTATTATTATTATTATTATTATTATTATTATTATTATTATTATTATTATTATTATTATTATTATTATTATTATTATTATTATTATTATTATTATTATTATTATTATTATTATTATTATTATTATTATTATTATTATTATTATTATTATTATTATTATTATTATTATTATTATTATTATTATTATTATTATTATTATTATTATTATTATTATTATTATTATTATTATTATTCTTATTATTATTATTATTATCATTATTATTATTTGTAGTGTAAACTTAAACTAGAATAAAAAGTAAACGTACCTTACATGGGTTGCCTCCCAAGAAGCGCCTTATTTAACGTCGCGGCACGACGCTATCATTGTGTTCAATCGTTCAAGCTTGGATCGTGATAACTCATCTTCTTCAAATTTTCACCCGGGTGACTCTTATAGAAAGACTCAATTTTTCGGCCCTTTATTTTGACAATCTTTCCGGATTTCTATTGCTTCATATTATGAGAGTGAGGGTCCATGATTTTCACTAAACATGATCAATGGAAGGGGTTTTGATCCGGGTGGTATAAGAGGGAGTATGAAATATTTGTGTAACTCCACTGTTATTCCTTGCTTATTTGTGAACAAAGAGAAGTCTAAATGATACTCACAATTGCTGAAGATTTTGTAGATGTTTTTGTCCTTCTCCACCCTTTGTGTTTCCCTTAGAGCCTCAGAAAATGATGGCATGATCTTAGGAATGACCGGTGGTTGAGTTGAGTTTTGAGGTTCCTCCTCCGGTTGAGCTTTCTCCGTAAGCTCCTCTTCTTCCTCCTCCTCGCCCATGTGGTTCACAATGCTTGGCATTTGTTTCAACTCATTCTCCATGTTCTGTTCGTTGGACATTGTTTCTTGCGGGCATTGTGACATATTTTGTTGCATATTTGTCACATTGATAGTGAGAGCTCGGATCATGTCTTCAGTGGACATGCTCTAATAAGAACTTGAGTATGGGTTATATGTGTTGGAGAATGAATCATACCTTTCTTGTAAACCAACATCATTCCTTTGTTCAAAGTATTATTTTTGAAACTCTGGTCAAAAATCCGTAAGATGCCTGTGTGACATGCAAATGTTGCATGTATGGACATCTTGAGATTTTGAACATGAAATAAACTCCTTTATTAGAGAAGCTAAAACAGAAATTTGACTCTGTAGGGATGATATGTTGGTATCCATATACTCATGTAAGCTCAGAAAATAGAAAAGTAAGATTTTTTTTTATTTTTTTTATTTTTAATTTTTTTGTTTTTGATTTTTTTTAGAACAAATAAAAAGAAAAATAATTGCCTTTCCCTGGCAACGGCGCCAAATTTGACGTGCACTTTGTCGTGGTGTGCACTCAAAATAAATATCAATACAACACTTATACGTAGTATTAGCGTAGTAAGGTTCGTATCCACGGGGAAAGGAATACTTCTCTTTTTAATTAAATAGTAACAAGGGGGGTTTTAGATGTGTCTGATTTTAATTAATTAAATACGAAGATGAACGACTTATATGAGTTTAATAAATAGAGATGATGACTTGGTTTTGCTTTTATCCACTTAATGAAATGTTCGTCGATCCCGGTTATATCTTTAACTATCTTCCTCTCGAATACTCAATCGAGGAGTATATCCAATTCATCGAGGGTAGTTATTAATAACGAGACGTGTTCATTAATAAAACTTACTACCGAGTCAATATAGAACACGCGCAGTATATTAAACAATCGGTTTATTGGTTTAATCAATATAATTAATTCCCCTTAGATTATTAACCATGAGACACATGCATTAATAATCCAGGTTTACTACCGTGAAACGACCGAACGATTAACAAGCGTATTCGTCGATCGATTCTAGTATTAATTAATATATGAAACAAAACTAGTTGATCCTTTAAGTAATGCTCAAAATATTAATATGAAATCTGAATAGGAATTAATTAATATTCAAAGAAGAAAATTAAAGAAGATAAATCCTATTATAACTAATGTCAAGATGTTAACTAATTGCCATCTTAGCAACACTCCCCAACATTAATATAGAGGAAGAAAATAAATACTACTATAACTAATGTCGAGATGTTAACTAATTGTCATCTTAGCAACACTCCCCAACATTGATATAGAGATAGTATTAAGGGAAGAATTAATATTCAAGGAAGAAGGTTAAAGAGAATAACTCACAACTTACAATTCATTAAGCTTCAAAGTAGCAAAACAAAGATGGAAGAGTTTAGCTCCTCATTTGGAGACTAAACATGATAAAAAATATTAAGAAAACACTAATCTAAACTGAGCTAAAGAGTATATGTGAATTGGTGCTTTTATTGTGAATTGGTGCTTTTATAGGCTTTAAGAAAATGCCCAGAAAGTCACTTTTCTGGGCATACCCGATCGGGTATGTCGGCATACCCGATCGAGTATGTGACAAATCTTCACGAAAATTTGCTCCCACGATCATTTGTTCCCGGATTTGATTTGGACAATCGAATCAAGCGAATACCCGATCGGGTATAGCTAGGCAATACCCGATCGGGTACATGAGTATTTTTTCCAAATCGAAATCTTTCTTGTCTCCTTGCACTTTCCTTGATCTTTTAAGGTCCAATCTTGATCCCTTGGATGATCATTGACCTGTTTAGCTCAGAATAATCCTAATCTAAACAAATTACAAATAAAAATGAAAATAAAATATTATACCAAAAGTGTGTAATTTCCACAACTAGAACTAATAAAAACTAGTTAAAAATACAAACATACAATTGGAAATTACACTCATATCACTTTCCGTAAAAGACTGAAGCTCCCCGTCGGGGCCAACACCATGGAGGCTGTCTCCCTGACCTTAGGCTTCTCACTGACCAGCGAGCCGCAACCTACGGTAATCTCACAGGTTATCTCGTACATACCTCTCGTTCCGGAATCAACCCCCATTCCCAACATTTCGGACTGCTTCTTCCTAGAATCGTTGTGGGTCAGACCTTGACCGACGGGTATACAGTTCGTCACTCAAAGTTTACTGATGTCGGCCAATACCTCACTCCCATCCAGGCCCTTAATCCCTCAAATCAACACCAGAGCTTTTGGTGACCTGGGTCCGTCCAATCCACCCGTTCCAGTACAAATGCCCGGAAAGAACGTATCCCACAACTTGTTTATTGAACCTCAAGATGGACGAGTTCTCGAACACGTCACTATCCAGAACCAAATGCAACGAGATCCAGAGGTAATATAATCATCATGTCACCAACCCGACCAAAATTTACCCAGATAATTGGTACTACGGTCTCAATGGAAAGACCATATAAAGCAAACTTGGCGGATCTGATGGCCATGATATTTGCCCAACTGCTGCAGATGCAGGACAACTCTTCCCCATCCTCCCCTCTCTCCTCTAATATTTCTTCTCTCTGACATCTATTTCCAGATTTTTCTTTCCAAGCAATTCCCCCATCTCGGACGAATTACGAAGGTACATATGGTGAATTTTTTCTCTTTCACAGTTGCCACCGCCGTGCAGCAGCAGTTATGAGAGGTAAGTTTTAATTTTCTGTTTTTTTCTCTCCTCCTTCTTCCTTCTTCTTCTTCTCCCTTCTTTTCCTTCCTTATATGGCAGATCCTTCTGGGTTTTTGCAACCGATTTTTGTTTATTTATTTTTGCTCCAGTTGCTTTGCAGATCTACTTCCGTACTTCGGCCTGCTTTCGTTTCTTTCTTTAGTTTTTCTCTTTCAATTTTCTTTCCACTTTTGTTTTGTTGACTTTTTTAGTTTATTCTTTAGCATTACATATTATAATAATTTCACATTGATTTCGAGCATTTTTTTACAAATTTTAACACTCATTTTTTGTTTGAATCTGAAATTGCTATAATTTCAACTCTATTTTAAGGTTATTTTTATGGTATATATTGAAATTATTATCTCAACACATAGTGCCAATAGTGTCATTTCCTTACTCTCTATCCATCTAGGATGGCAAATACAATATTAATAATGCCATAATTGCCATATTTTTTGTCAAATAAAAAAGTTGATTCAACAAATAGTGCCACTTGTATATATTATATTAATAATAATGCCATAAATGCCATATTTTTTTTTATCAAATAAAAACGTTGATTCCACACATAGTGTCATTTGTATATACAATATTAATAATAACGCCATAAATGCCATATTTTTTATTAAATGAAAAACGTTGATTCAACTGCCATTTGTAAATATAAAATATTAATATTAATAATAATGCCATAAATGCCATATTTTTTTATCACATAAAAAACGTTGATTCCACACATATAGTGACATTTCTATATACAATATTAATAATAATGCCATAAATGCCATATTTTTTTATCAAATAGAAAGTTGTTTGTGCACATAGTGTCATTTAATTCGTATGAGGCCATCTCCAACAGTTAACACCATTTTTTACACTAAAATGGTGTAAACATCACATCAAACAGTATTTTATCTCCAACAGTTTACACCATTTTCATCACCAAAAAGGAATATTCTCTTTTTATTCTTTTTACTAACTTTTTACCATTCTTCTATTTAAGTATCTAACTATAATATATTTATACATTAGCCCCTCATTTAATTTTTTTGACATTTCTAAATTAGTATGTACCATGTATGTTTTTAATTATGTTTTAATTTTAATTATAATGGTGTTATTAATTGTAATTTTAATTATGCTATTTCCTTAAGTACCATTTGTATTCTGTTATAATGTTGTTTGGATTTGAAACTTTATTTATAATATTGTGTGATTTAAATTTTATTATATTTTTTCTATCAAATTAATAATTTTAATTTGCTGTTCTATAAGGATGTTTTTACTTGGACTGTAATTTGTCTCGGGATCAGATCAGACCTGATTATACCACACTTGGGTAGTTATAAAAATACAAAGAAATCAGACCAGACCACATCATTTCAGATCAGACCAGACCAGACCAGAGCGGACAAACCAATTTCAATCCAAGTAAAACATCCTAATTTGTTGTTTTAAAAATGGTCAAAACTATAATAAATAAAACTTGAAGGTCACATTTAAAAGGAAAAGAAATTAAAAAAGGTGGATAGTGTTAGATATGGTGTACGCCATATATGGCGTAAAGCCATCTCCTCTCCCCCAAAATGGTGTAATGGTGTGGAGAATGGTGTCATTGTTGGAGCAAGTTTTTGACAAATACACCATTTTGGTGTGTGATTTGGTGGTCTGTTGGAGATGGCCTGACTATAAATGAAAATTTAAAGTATTGTTTCCAGATTTGAGATTTGAAGTGGTGGAGCCAAACATGGTGGTGAATTAGGATCAGGCAGAGGCAGCGGACGAGGCGGCAGCAGCGGCGACGGACAAGGCGACGGCAGTAGCGGCGGCGATGCTGGAAGAGGCGGCAGCAACAATGGAAATGGTCAGCGGCCGATGACAAACATCTGGCAGTGGCGCCGCCACCTACGGCGGAGGCTACTGGCGACGGAGGAGACTTCCGACGGGGAGTGGTGCAGGCGGCGTCTTGCAGTGGGGTGGTGGTCGTAGGAGTACTTTCTTATCTGTACAGTTTTTGTTTCATCATTATTATTTTTACGAGCGTTATTTAATTTGATAGATTTAAAACAGAAATTAGTTTAGGGCTTCATTAAGGGTATTTACGTCCGGTCATGTCTATTCACTCCTATGTAAGCATACGGAACATTCAAACTCCTAACTTTGCACATTTGTAAGGGCCCAAGCCGAGGCCCGGCCCATTAACTCCATCTGACCAGACGCACGTCCAGTGAAAGGACAACGCAGGCCCGCAGGCCCATGGTTCTTAAAAGAGGGACGAACGTCTGGAGTTTGGGGGTTCAGGCCCAACGTCTCCTCGACGACGAACGTCTATACTGAGACAATGGGCAGGACTACGGGCCGCCGGGGATGACGACGAACGTCTCCAGAGCAAGCCTGTAGTCATCAGAGGGAATCCAGTCCAAGGCCAGAAGACGTACGGCCGGTATCTCTTGATGATCACCTGGAGCGATCCAACTCACCCCCCAGACGGACGAACGTCCCCACTGATTGGGCGGGAAACCTAGATTCTGGCGGGAAGCGCATTTAATGCTGAAGATTTGGTGGTTGGGGCACCAGCGGTCCACAGGCTGCCACGTCTGTATAGCCACCTGCCCATTGGTGGGTATAAATAGAAGCATTTAATTCATTGAAAAGGGTTGGCAACTTTCTATTCTTAGCACCCTAGCTATAGCATTCTTACTAGTGGCTCTTCTACTACCTTGTAAGACGAACGGCCGACGTGCCTTGTGAGCAAGTAGATTGTACTTAGGGGAGTTATTACGAAGTTAATAATACCTACTTACATTGCCTGCTATTTTCCTTGTTTCCTGATCCATCTGGGAGTTGTTGGGCTAGATATTCACACACTCATACATCCACTCCACTCGAAACTTTTGGGCTTACGTGTTGGGCCCGAGGGTTGAAGGAATAAACCTCAACACATTTTATATACCAAACCAATTTTTTGGTTAAATCTCAGGCTTCCCAGCTGCAAAATGCACCAAGAATCCCGCTCTCCCCACTACACTTTTTTATACGTACACAACCTATCCACTAGCCTTTTTGGCTTTTTCATCAGCAACACACCCGCAAAGACCCACGCTCTCCCATGCACCAATGAACTCCTCTTCTTTGGTATTCAGATTGTCAGGCACGTTGCAGGCCAGTCCACTACTTTCCTCCAGGATGGAGTCAATTTCCCGGCCACAAGTTGCTCCCCAAGGCTCTCCAGACTCCCGCAAACTCCTCCCTCTACGAAATATTCTCCCGGTTGCAGCCATTTTGGGGTGAAAACCTCACATTTGGGCTTTTCATCTCATGCATTGCAATCAGCCTGATAGTACGAAATTCATTTTTCTTAGGGGAAGTTCTATTCACAATCCTAATTTTACTAAACACAGCCCCCAAATTAATTGAATATCTAATTTGCCCTTTTAGAATATATAGGAAGTAAATTAAAACACGCGGACACAGGCGCACATCAGTGATCAGTCCTTCAGATTGTTTTTGTTCAAAGAGACATTCCACTAAGTGAGATAATAATATATACATAAAGGAAAATAATTTGATCAAAGCCACAACTTTCCAGATCGGTTAAGAAATACTCCGTTTGAGAGTTGGGAGACGTTGAGCTGGGAGACCAAGGCCAGCCGCCAGCGGCTGAGACCTACCAAACCGGAGGTGTGGTTAAATCCCACCCTTTGCTATTTTTGGGCGCAGAGGAAGGTTGTCCTCGATCAAATGTCAAACTCTCCGAGGCAGCGTAGTATATGGCCGCCAGTGTCATTTTTGTTATGTGGGTTACACGCCACGCGTTGGCGGCGCGGCACCTCCGCACAACATCTCGAGGTACCTGTGGAAAGGAATGGGTTTCTTTGGTGTAGAAGATGGCCTTTTTTATTTAGGGAGTGATTGGCTTTAGTGCCGTGGAGGAACAAGTGGTCGCCGCTGAAGATGGCCTTCCGATAGGAGAGTCTTAAGGAAAACAGCTGTGTTGTAAAGTTGTAATAAGGGTACTATAGAGGTATTACCAAAATATTGGGCTGCACTTAGTAAATACTCCTTCTGTCCCTAAAAGAAGTTCCATTTCGCTTATCGAGGGTCAACTTAAATTTCTCTTAAACTCTTATTTTTTATATCAAAATTTTATAAAAGTTGAATTATTTTTTGCAGGCTTTGTAGCGGGTTTAATGTAGTTTCTGAATATGTAAATTTTATTTACTAAAAATAATCCGAGTTTTCACAGGGATCATTTAACTTTATCGTCGGTCAACCTTCGTAATCCGCAATTGGAACAACATTTAGGGACGGAGGGAGTATGTGTTTGTATTTAGAATTACCCTTTTCTTAGTGGGAACTGAACCCCATACCTCCCGCAAAGGGAAGAATGGGAGTGGGTGGCCAAATAGCCCATCAAGGAGGCCCTTGCAAACTTGTTCCTATTTCGGGTACAATAAAATTGTTCTTTAACAACGCAGCCTGGCTCCTGATGTGCCATGAATCAATCGAAGAGACCAAGTTTGGGCCCCTATCTCTTCCCTAACAGTGTCAAATGACAGATTGTTTGGAGCTTTCTTCATTTGAATTTTCGTGGACAAGCTCACCTAATATACGTACCATTTTTGTTTTGAAGAAAAAAACGTTGACTTGTTCAACTATGTAACAAGACCCTACTGTGTTTGGTGAGTTGAATTATTGAAAGGTACAACAAGTGGCCTTTTTCTTCATTGATGAATACTGATATGGGTACAAAGATGCTATGGAATAGAAAATATAAAATCAACGTCACAAATCACAATCACCCTTCAAATGAATGACTGAATGAGTTTCACACAATTATCAATGGTTATCTACTTATCTCCACAATTATCTGATCTGGTCTAGTAAATGTCTACTGTGTGAGCATCCTTGTGTTTTCTGGTTTTCATCCAAACATAAGGGGCTTTAGTGTGAGCATAGGCACAACAAGAAAAGGAAAGATTAAAAAGGGTACAAAGAAGAGCCCCATGTAACATCCAAATAATCTATACCTTAACAAATTATCCATTGCAGTTGCTGTCAGAGAGTCAGTTACCAAAAAAAACCAATATGCAACAATTTAAGTATCTACAAGAGGTAAAACAATGTAACAAAAACGTGGGAATATTCATTAATTCTGATTATGTTAATCAATGTTCTAAGCTAAGTCGCATCGGTACTATGGCCACTTTTCGAGCTTTCGTTCATCTGCAAAAAAATCCTTTTTTCCCACATGTAAACAAAAGGGCAAAAGGCTGATTTTTACAGTTTACAAGGGGGTGGGGGGAGAAAAAAGGAAACCAAAAGTCATGGACCATAGAGAAGAAAAAGATGAGTTAAGAGATGTAGCTAGAAATGGAGATTTCTATTATTTTCAAGTTAGTGATTCCTATGCAGAAAGTAGTGGATTGCTTCTAGAATTCATTTTCTTCACCTCTGTATGGCAACAAATCAGAATCTTCCTCACCACACTGCAGAATTCTCTGCAAATAATCAAATAACTCAGTTAAGTTCCAAAAGAATACACTTGAGAGTTTCACAGCAATAGAAATGAGAAAAAATATATATATACTTACAGCCATGGGTGATCCCCCAAAAGCATCATGTCCCCCTCATCATCTGTGAAGATAATCTCCCATTTGTTCCGCGTGCGGAGTTCCCCATGGATCTCAAACATATCCTCAAGATCACTAATAAGTTCATCATATCCCTTTATCGCTGTCAAGTCCACTGCACGACCCACTGCCACTCCTTGCATTTGTACCTACTCAAATGATAATGCAGTCGGTTAGTATTTTCAAACTGACATGAAGAGAGTAAGTTTATAATTTTTTATTTAACCGGTATGGCGTAGAAACTAACATGTCCTGAAGATATTAGCAGCTCATTAATTAGACCAAAAAAGTCAATCTAGATAAACTTTTTAAGGACCTTGCATGTGAACATATACTCTGGTATTAGGCCTGGATTACTAAACATAACATACCTTGGTACGACTTCTAATGGAGAAACCATGGTTGGTTAAACTGTCTTTTGGTTGGGAGGCCTGTGACTGCTCTTGTTTAAGATCTTTCGCATCAAAAGAAAGGTCAGACTTTTGCTCTGAATCACTTAAGGTCACTACTGTCTCTGGATAGGAACCTTCAACCGAGTTCAAGTCAATACCAAACAATCTAAAAGGTCCGGATTTTCCTTTATCGCCCAAATGGTTTATAAGATTGTTCTGATGCCCTCCATTGTGCATTGTTGGCAGGTGGTTTGAATCAACGGACCAAGTTGAAGCACTTTTACCATCATCACTTTCAGTTGTGAAAAGATTTAAAGAAGTTTTTACATGAGTAGGGCCCACAATCTCTGTTCGGTTCTGTAGAGAGCAATCCGTATTGCTAGCTTTGATTGGAGCAATCTGTTCAGATCCCAAATCGGATGAAGGATTCCAAGCAGCAGAGGCATTTGACAATGTAGGTGGTTCTACAAAGTTCAATTAAAAATAAAGGGTTAGTGCGTGTTTAGTACTCAGTATAGTAATATCCTTGGAACCAACTAGCTAGCTCTATTCAATTCGAAGCTTATGAACAATTTCTAAGTTTGAACCAAAATATGTTTTAGTTTTAAAATAAAATAAATAGATGTTATTCTTAAATACAGATTTTGTTCTATTAAGCTTGTTTGTAAATATATTAAAGGCTTAAAATAAGCGTTTATTGGAAAAGCTATCACCTATAGTACTTAAGAGATAAGCTCCCAGCTTTCAATCTGTTTTCACTAATGACATTACTCTTTTCAAATAATAACTAACACCCTTTATCAATCTATGACAAATACTCAGAGATGTCTATTTTACATGAATATACTCAACAAAACACCTAATTTTACCAAACACCTCTAAAACCCATTAGAGCTTTAAACTTTACCTACATACTTTTAAGATTTTAGAAATTTTGTAGCTCTGAGCTATTTGTTAAGCTATGCGTCCCAAACAAACCCTAAATTTCAAGCGCAGGAAAATATTTGAACACTCAGCTCACCTAGAACTGTGGTATCAATAGTCGGTCGAGGCCTTTTGTTCTTGGGTACCACCGGTGGAGAGGGTGTTGAAGGGACCGAGGGAATAAAAGGTTCTATCTCCCATGGAGAAACCCTTTCAGGCCTATTAATGCTTGCAGGTTCATCCCAATGAACCTAAAAATGAGAGAACTGAAGAATTAACATGGAAGTTATAATTATGAGATTCCCTATCTTGCAAATGTATAGCATATAATTATGTAAACCTTCAATGAACGCCAATCGGAGTTTTTCCATTGGGCAGAAATATCTTCAACCCCAATTATGGTGCCCATAAACCTGGATGAAAAAGGAAATATCAAAAAGAGCCTTCAAGATATATTCCCTCTGGAGCCAACTGCTAGGAGCAGGCTACTGCTCACCCATCCTTAAGCAAGGAGTCAGCTGCCAACCTTTTCTTGGCCGAGGCTTGATCGTTGGAGCGAGAAAGGATAGCCTAAAGCTCATCCTTGTCATTGCACTCAGTCCCTCCGTAATCAGAATAAACAGATACAGAGATAGCGGATCCCCTTGTCTCAATCCCCGTGGTTTCAGATCAACACAGGTAAAAGTTCATTCTCCCCACATTATATTTTAACTACTATTAGTAATTAAAGTACATATTTAGAAACTACACTCAAATTTCTATTGAACCAGAAATCCCAAAACTTGAAACTTAACATTAGATATATTACTATATTAGAAAACAA